TTTGATCCAATAGACATATGAAATTGATAGACATCCTAATGAGGTTAAAATATTCTGATGCAAAAATTGTACAGTAATATTTTGAACATTATTGATATTATTGATATAATTCTTGTTGATAAGGATTACCAAACAAATAATTCCAACTTGCCGGTGTTTTCCAAAGTTTTGTTATGGGAATTTCTATAATTATCAATTATTAACCATTTAACATATTAATTAACCATTTTAATACATTACATTAAATACTAACATATTAATTAACCATAAATAAATGAAGTACATATTACCTTGTTGAGGAATCAAGTTTAATAATGAGTTTGTGTAATTTGCAAGTAAGAAGGCATCCTGTGTATTGTCTGGAGAGAAAAGAATTATTACAATCATAATATAAATTAAAATTAGATTTTAATATAACTGATAAACTCGTTACCTCCTTCTATCGTAAAAAAAATAATCATTATCAATGGTATATTTTCTTGCTGACTTTTATGGAATAGAAACTTTGATATACCACCACCAGGAATTTTTGGTAAATCATTGTCTTGTTTTAAAACATAATCATCATTTGAAGTTTTTTCCAAAGTTTTTAAACCAAGATTTGTTGCTCGTTCAAAGAGATCATTTGGGAATGACGGTGTAGTAAGGATTCGAAGTGGTAAGCTTTCGATTAGGGTAATTAAATATTAGAATTAAACTGGTATGTATAGTCGATGTCAAAAATGATGTACAAACCTTGTAAGTTGAACATCTATTCTTCTAGTAGCATCTGCACTCGACAATAAAATTACTTTCGAAAATTGGAATTGCTTTATAAAAGCTAATAAATTTTCAGCAAAAATATTCCACTTTTTCTGAAAGATCAAGAGTTCTGATTTTAACAATAGCAAGCTAATCAAAAAAAAAAGGACAAAATTTACCTTAATTACTGGTGCTCTTTGTTGAATAATTGTCCATTTATTATCATCAGATTGATATACTATTTTATATAAATAAGAGTCTTGTAATCGGATATTGATGTATAATTAAATAATTGAAAAATTGATTCTTACCTTCAATAGCGACAGTAATGCCTCTTGACAGATGCTCGTTAACACCGACCACTGGAATAACATTTTCATCCTCCAGGAAACCAATTCGTTGTAAATTCAAAGTAGTAATTAAAAGATCAACTGCGAGTTGAGGAACATTTCCAATTGAAATAGCAGGCTTATTTTAGGTAAAAATATTGAGTACTATTATACAACATATAAAATATTACTCTAAGTGAAGAAATCTTACCAGAATAAGAGTACTCCCGGTTATATTACACGAATTTTCACGTTCTTTCACTGGAATAAATTTCATTTTCAACACGTTACGTCACGTTAAAGAACTTAAGACGTTTGGAAAGTCAAGTAACAAATAATATCGATATGGTTTATGACAATGCATGATCTGCGAATGATCCGCATTGCAGTTCGTGTAACTTGAAATTTTAAGTGTTATCATAACTGCATAATGCAAAAACAATTGAATTAGATCTTTAACAAAGTCAAAAAAGATGTCAACAGCACAAGGATCTTCGAACAAGGTATTTATTCAAAGGTTAAATTTATCTCTCTATGTTATTTACTAGTCCCATTTATGCTTGTTTAGATTTCTTTGAGCTTTAAATAATTCTATCTCGTGAATTTATACAAGCTTGATGACAAACGTTTATATATCGGCAACCTAGATTCTGCTATCGATGAGTAAGTAATAATATTTATTCGTTATTTTATTCGTTCATTCAATGTATAAACCAACATTTCTTGCTAGATATACCGTAGTAAAGCTATTCGAACCTTATGGAAAAATAACGCATCTCGATTATCTTTTTCACAAGAGCGGACCTAAACGTGGTCAACCAAGAGGCTATTGCTTTTTAGAATATAGTAAAAAGGAGGTGAGAGATTTTATTTTAATTCTCTTTTGTGTAAAGTGATTCTTTTTAAATGAATCAACTGTTGTATTTAAATTTCATTCACATTTTATAATCCTAGGAAGCATTGAAAGCAATGACAGCAATGCACTCTAAAGTAATTAAGAATCGCTCTATGATAGTTACATTTGCATATGCGGTAAATAAAAATATACCCTCATAAATTTCTTAACACACTGTGATTACGATAGTAATTAGTTATGATTATGTAGGCATCAGAAAATTGTGATAGTAAAAGCATAGGCGGTTTAAAGAAAAGGTCATCTACAGCTGCGAGTAATAGACCGACAACTATTTCATTGCTAAAGTCACATCAAATGGTTAATGTTAGGTATATTGTTTTTTCAACTACGACGCATATATTGATTTTTTTTTCCTATTACGAATTGATATTCTGAAATTTCTTTCTTAAAGCACGGACGCAAAAATACAAGCATTGGAGCGGAAATTAGCACAAATGAAGCAAGGTCAATCATCTAATTCATCTTCTGTAAAAACATCACCATCCACTTCATCATCTCATCAATCTAAAACGATAAGAAATTTAAAATTACCCTCACCTTCCACGAGTACGGTTAAACAAAATGAACAGAGATTTAAACCATATTAAATTCTAAATAATTAAATTGTGCATCGATAAACATTTCTTACTGTTAATAATAAAAGACTATCTTGGAAATCTTGCTGATCCAAAACGCAAATGTAAGCCTTTGTCTATGCATAACAGTAATGATTTATTTATATGTTGTCACATCCTAAAAATTATGACTAAATACTAATAGGTTACAAGTCTTGTTAGAATTACTGAATTATATTAAAAAAGCTAAGCATAGCAAGTATTATATTTATAAGAAAATGATACAATCAATAGTGTAATTCATTATCAAAATAGTAACCCAGTATAGTGAACTGCTCTAAATTACGGCATTATTAAGTAATTCTCTCAAATGATTTCACTATAATGATAATGTGCTGCATGAATAAATTATAGCCTTCCCATCCAACTCTATATTATTACATTAGGAATTTATTCTCCTAATAAATACATTTGGTAGATAAATGCAAATAAAATAGCAACTATTATTACAAATAGCCAAGTTTTATTTGCGATACCTAAAAAAAATGAATAATAAATGTTGTTTAATTTGTAAAGAAAATTGAAAGGTATATCAGCAAATTTTTTTTACCTGAATCAAAATTTTCTGGAAGCTGCATAATATTAACCGAATGATCAGCAGAACCACATATAATTAACGTAGAGTCACTATTAAAGCCTAACGTAGTTACTGGAAGCTCATGTAAATGAGGCACAGTAAGCAGTATCTAAAATAAAAGAAATTAAATATAGATTGTCTGTAGTAAAATTGCAAACATGACTCAAATTATCAACTAACCCTAAATGTTCGTGTATCACAAATTGATACACTTTGATCGGAGCTTCCAAACGCTAATAAATTTCCATCATTACTGTCAATATATAAATATGATTATCTTTGAAGTTCACTTAACAGACTTCAATCAATACTATAAGAATTGCGCAATTCACCTTACTGCAAATGCAGTGATCGGTTTTCTGGAAACAGCTTTTAATAAAACTTTATTCCAAGTTTTAACGTCCCATTTAACGATGAATGCTCTGAATTTAGAAATCGAATTGACCACAGTAAAAAGATATCCCTCAGATGACCCTTTGCCAAATCTATACAATTTGAAAAAAATCGATAATTAAAAAATCATAATAAAATATTATAAAATTTTTAAATGCTAAACGAACCTGCATGCTCTAAATTTGCACTGTGACGATTTTTGAAATGTGGGTCGCTCTATAGATTGAATACGTTCACCATCTTTTGTGGATAATATTCGAAGAAGTTTCTCAGATACAACTGCAACCTGTATATAATGACACGTTACGTTTAAGGGTCTAGACAATTTACAAATGAAGTATATAAATAATATCAAACCTGATCACCAGTTGAATTAAAATCAACATCATATATTTCTTGTTTATCAAAATTCACTGGCGGAAAAGCTACATCTAGTGATGGATATTTAAGTACCGTCAACTGTTCCAAAATGATACAAGTTAAATAATTATATTATTATTTTATTGATTATATTGATTCTTTTCTTACCTTACTATCTGAGCCACCGGTTGCCAATAGTTTACCATTATGATTGAATGCAGTAGCTTTCTGTGTTTTATATGGACTATTATTTAGATGCACACGAATCATTAAAAAGTAACAAGCTAATATCTTTACCTGATAATAATCCTCATTAATATCTACTCTAATAGTTTGCGTTGTATTAATTAATTCGATTCTACAAAATATTTTTTTTTTTTAGAATACGTTAATTTTAGAAAGAATTTTTTTGAAAAATAGAATTTAAATTATCAACCTTTCATCTGAATATCTAAAAATTCGACAATTTTGATTTTCACCGGTCTTCATTTTTTCTAATGAGCTATTGATACCACAAGAAATAATATTTTCCTATCATGAAAAAAATATCACGAAATTTGAGGTCAAGTCCACAAAAAAACTGATATATTGAACGCTCAAAATGTTAATGCGACTAAGATATCTCGCGTAAGAATCTTAAACAATATATACCTCACTGTGAAAAGCAATGCATTGTGGTGAATCATCGCCTTCTTCTAGTTCTAATTCAGATAATTTTTCTAAAATTTTTTCATCTTTTTCAAGAGTTTCAGATGATTTTTCCAAGATTTTTTCATTCACTTTGTACAATACCTGGTTTTATAAAAACTTTAATAAATATTTTCAAAAAAAAAAAAAAAAAGTTAACTGTGTAAAATATACATTATACAATTACCAGTTTGTTCTTTACGCCAGTTCTTTCAACGCCTCCACCCCCACCTATAATTACTTTTCCCGCATGGTCAAAGCCTACATTTTGCGAAATTAGCATAATACTTTGGCAATATAATATCACAAAGTAACATAATTAAAGTACCAGCACAATAAACAGGAAATTCAACTTTATCCGAAAAGCATTTAAATGTTCTCATCGTTATTAAGTTGAAGTATTAAAATGAAGTATTAAAGTGACGCGCTTCAATTTATAAGGCTCCACTCTGATTATTCCGTATCTTTATTTATCGTGGCAGCATAATATTAGTTACACACATATTTGTGTAAATATTAGATTTAAGATTAGTGGTTACGTAAAACAGGTGATGCCGATTTTTACAAAAAAAAGGTTTAAAAAAAGTTACGATCCAAATAAAATTAACAAAGTTTCAAGCCTTAAAAAACTAACACGTACTAATTTAAAAAAAAAAAAAAGATACGTATAATTTGTACGTAGCTTAGGCCATATAAAGTTAATTTTTTGGTTCTCATAACGTAAAATTTTAAAAATGACCCGGCAACCCGGCTTTTAATTTTATTTTTAAAAAATTTTATATACAAAAAACATATAAA